AAACTTTGCAGCTTGCAATGTGGTTCACACACATCAGAGAGAGGATGGGAGTGATCAATTCATGTGGGTTTTTATTTTCAGGTTGCCAGAGAGCCTGGTGCTACTGAGCTACCCAGCCAGCTGTTACTTTCAGTTACCCTGATTGATATAAACAATGACAGCCAGAGAGACGGCTCTTGTCCCTCACTTGCCCCCATCGCAAAGGAGCAAAGCTAAAATAGCAAAACACGAAAACTTCCATCTCTTAGAAACTACCAAGCCTTCTTTTATGGGTACAAAAAATGTTTCACCCACTCTAATGCGAGGAAAGGAAAGAAGAAAAACTGAAACCCACAAAAACCTTGGGGAAATGTGTGATCTAGTTTTAGGGTGGCTCTCCTTCGCCCCTTTGCGCGTGCCACCATGATGCATTTGCGTGGAAACCGTGGAAGAAGTAATTTTGATGCAGATGTCTTAGAGGGACAAAAGAAGTTCACTGCATGAAAACCAAACATACCATTCAGGAAACAATGGTTAATCTGTTCAGGGCGCCTGAACCTATTGTTGCTCCTCTGTGGAATAAAGGAGGAGGATTAATTTGAAGATGCTTGTGCATGACATATGGTAATTCTCCAGGAGAAGGAAGTGGCAGCTAGTGACCTCTAAATCTTACCATTGACCTCTGGTTGTAGAATGGTGTGTGCCATAAGGTCTGCCCGTCCTTTCATATGATAATTTGATTCATGGAGCATTAGTGAAACTATAAAGTTTACTGCGGCCTCTGGGCTGCCTTTGCATTATAAAATGAGGACCCCCACCGCCATTCAGAAAACGGCCGTCGTAAAACTGCAGAAATTTTAATTTGGCAAAAACTGTTTTGAGCAATTAAGTTTTAAGTGGCTTCCTCGCTAAAAGTAGTGGAAGGGGGATACACATTAAATCAATCCCAATGTGGCCTTTAGGAGATTAGTTTTCAAGGTGGTTTTATTCAGCGTGGCGTTTTAAAAGACGCTTCAAAGGTTGGGATGTTCAAAAGTAGGTTTGGCTAAGTTGCTTTCTGGTGGGGTGGGTGGGAGTAGGGGGTATTTGTACTGAAGGTTTTTGAGGTTGTAGTTTTGTGTGATTTTAAGGGTAGCCATAACAGTGGCCATGTTCCTCACTGATTCCCACTAGCCTGACTGCTAGTCTAGATTGCAACTCCCCACCCCCTGACCCCTATATAAAATGGGATTGCTTGGGTCTTTCTGGGTATAGTCTAAGTAAGCAAACTTCTCTCTTTTTGTTCTACAACTGACTTCTCTGTCCCTGACACATTTCTTGGAAGGTCACTGTAAGATGATTGTTTCAGTTAAAATAGTCCCAGCGGTTCTTTGTTCTTTTTTAATTATCATTATTTAGCGATACTAACCAGTTCTTTTTTTCCCCCTTCTGGAAACGACTGTCTTCATTATCCTCTTTATTTCTCTTTCCTACTCAAGTTGCTCCCGCTGTTTCTGCTAGCACTGAAGCTGATCACTCTGGCTCTGACCCTGCTCCTCCTTTACATACCTGTTTCTTAGTAAATGAAGGTATTCCTTTGCCTCAGTTTCTATCTGTCTACTCGGCCTCTTTTTTTTTCTCTTGACTAACTTGCTCTCTCATTGTGACATGCCTCTCTTAATCTGCACATCCATCCACTTTGCAATACTAAAGACAAGCTTCACTTAGCAACCTTTGCTTGGAACTAATGATCAGTTTTAATTTGTTGTCCTCTGCCTTTGGGTCAGATCGGCTTAAAAGGCAGAGAGACTATGTATCACGTAAACAGCCAGCTAATCCAACTGGCAAAGAAACGTATAATTAACATATTAAGTTCTTTAAGTTTGTTTCCCCCCCTAACCTCTTTCAAAGTGGGGGCGGGGGTGGGGAGAGAGCACCTACTTCTTTAACTGTGCAATCCTAAGTAGAGTTAACCCTCCTACTTTAGGGCATACACCTGTTTAGGATTGCACTGTAAAAGCCTGTGTGTTTGCAGAACTGGGGTTTATGCAGTTTAACAAGTGGAATGTTTTGGGAACCTGGAAGAAACATGAGTCAGTACCTTTCTACGTGCTGGAAAAATAGGTTTTCTTATCACTACAGAAGATATTTTTCAGTCCAAGTAAGGTTTTGACTTTATTTTAACTGTGCAGGAAGAGCAGCCTTGAGCCAGGGGGGAAGGCAGGATATAAATATTTGAATCCATGAGATAAATAAGAAGCAAACAGGGGAACGGAGGGGACTCGGGAGTACTTTACTAACGCAGCATTGTACTGTGTGGCTCAGTTTTCCCCCTAAGCCCACGGTACTCATTGTTAACTGGCCTACAGTCTGTTACGAGATCATGACTTTTGACAGCCTTAAAGACTAAAAGAGTAATCTGCAAATGAATTAAAAAACTCAGCATTTATCCGCTTAGCCTTAGTTATTTCATTGGAAATGAAGCTGACTCTGAAATGAAGCTTCACTTTAAGTGATTGTAGATCACGCTGTTTACAGCCCGTTTTTATATATTTTACTGCCTATGATTTATGGAGAGGCTTTCAATTATTTGTGTAAATTGTCCTCATTCAGAAACAGAATGCTGTTCGGTCTATTCAATTTTCCTTTTACACGAGAAACAAGCATTTTTTTTTCAACAGGTAACACAAATTAGTTTAATGGCTTGGGCACACATTGCTTTGTATCCCTTAGTTGCCATGCTGAAAGAGAATGGCTTCATTTAGCGCATGGGAAAAAGGACAAGTCCTCCTTTAAAAAAGGAATCATTAGAAGCAAGCAGCCATCCAGTCCACTTCTAGAGCGATTCAAGGACAGACAGCGTTTGCCACACGATAGAGCTGGTGCTGGAGCTGTGCCAAATATTCCCTGGTTTTGATTTTTCAAAAATTGAAATATCAGGAGGGTGAACTTTTTAAATCCCCCCCAACCCAAGCTATGCAATTAAAAGTAAACCCCCCCCCCAAAACCCCTCCTTGGCAGCCATGTTGCCACCTACCTTGGTGGTACCATCTTTCGCCCTGTTACATTTTTCTTCTTCTTCAATTAGTTATAGGGATGGCTGCACCAAATCGGAGATCTCACAGTGGGTGAGATGTCATGTCAGCACTATGTAACGAATCAGATTTATTTACACAATGATATTAGTGAGGGCAAAGAAAGCCTTTGTAAACAAATAAGTGAATGTTTGTGCAAGGAGGTACCAAAAGTTGAAGGGGGGGCATTACATTGGCACATACAAAAATATTTGCGAATAACAGAATCTGTTTACCTGGCTTGGGACCCTGTATTGGGGAGGAAGGTTGGCTTTATGAATATTTTACTAAATATAAATGAACAGCTTTTGCCTCTGTTCTAGCTGCAGTCTGCTAAAAAATATGGGGGGGGGGGGATGTAATGTGTACACAAGCCCTGAAGTATGTATATTTTAGCTATTTTTTCCCCACAAGAACATATGAGATAAAAGGTCTCTTTGGTTAGTATGATTCCAATTTGGAACCAGTTCTTTATGCTGTTATTGGAGAACAAATCAGTGTTTTGTTTTGTCATACTGTGCTGTCTTTTTAAAACTGTTTTAAAATTGTGTTGTGTCCAATGTTCCCTTTAAGCTGTGGAGTCTTGTGAGCAAAAATTCTACTTTGTGAGCTACTGGCATGAAAGTTGTGAGCAAGCCATTTGGCTACTGCATACATTAGTCTGCTCTGGAGCCATCCTTCCTGAGCTAAGACAAAAATGTCTGAGCTGAAGGCTAAAAAACTGTGAGCTAGCTCACAGTAACTCAGCTTAGAGGGAACACTGGTTGTGTCCTCCCCCCTCCCGCTTTGTGTGGTGTTAAAGGCTGGTACTTGGCTTCATTAGCTGTAGAGGAGTATTTTTTTTCCCTGCAGAGGTTTTTGGTGGGTTGTCATCCATGTTTTAGCTTTACGTATTGGCTGCAATCCTGCATCTAACTTACATATAGGTGTAGTTGATAGCAGGACTGGAGAAGTCCTAGGAGCATGGTTGCCAAGGTGTCTGAAAGATTGATGCTGGTACCTAACAGTTGTGTCACTTTTATGTTATTGTTCATGGCTTCAGCCTAAATAAAATTGATACTCTTTCTAAAAAGAATTGATTCCAGTCCTTAGAAGTTATTTTTCAGCCTTGTTGCTATGGCATTGCATATGCAGAACAATGCACCGCACACTTGGATCACCAGTGTTGGGGCAGATAATTCTCCACTGCTGCTACCCTTCAGGTACCCATGGGAAAGGGGGCACAGCACACAGGGTGAGAATCCACCCCCCTTCCTGTGTGTTGCCTCTCTCTGTTGCACACATTGACACACCAGCACCTTGGTATTGCTCATACAGGGCATTGCCTCCTATTCACTACACTATAACATCATTGTGGCATGGCCTATAGGCTTTTGGATGCAGGACAGGATTGCTGCCATTGTGTGCATTTTTCATCTCTATGCATACCTGTTGTGATGAATCTGTAGCATGAAAACAATTAATTGGTTGAAGTGGAACAGAAGAGATAGGGGTTTTTTTTTTATAACAACACCATGAGTTCTGTAGCCATTGCGGTGAGAGACACATGCTTAGAAAGGGTATCTCTGTATATTAGATATTTGATTATATTAAGCAGTATTTGAACAGTATGTGGTTTGGGGATTAAGATTAGATATGGTAGTTTTTATATTGTGATAAATCACTGGTTAAGGAACAAGGGGGATATAAGGAAGAAAGAGATATTGATAATCCTCTGATAGCTCTTGACACACAGCTGGTTCTTGTTTCCATCTGGTACCACCAGCAGTGTTTTGATCCCCAAGTTTTTGTTAGCTGCAGCTTGCAAATTTCAAGGATTAGAAGGCTTCCATTCTGTCTGTTGTTCTGTCACTGTTTTAAAATCTTGTTTCTAAATTGTTTAATTTATATTTGTTATTGTCACAACTTGTGTGACCCAGTAACCCGCCCTGAGCCCGCTTGCAGGGAGGGTGAGATATAAATTGAATCAAATAAATAAATTGGGGAAAATGTGATGCAACAGGAGACAGGATGCTGGCCTAGATGGACCATTGGTCTGATCCAGCAGGCCTCTTCTTGTGTTCTTGACCTCACGTCCCATGTTAACTTTTTCATTTGTCGCTTGCTTGCTTGCTTGCCTGGAGTCTGGAAAATGGTTCAGTTTTTGTGTATCCCGCCCCCACAAATAAAGGAATCATTCCTTTATTCCATTTTGTCTGAAGGCTTTGCATTCTAAAGTTACAACAAGCAGCCAGTGGCCCTTCCTTGGTGATGAGGAAAGGAGGAGGAGGAGGCAAAAGGCAACAAGATATAAGATTATAATAAATGCAGTTAACGTAAGCTTCAGTTAATTTGATTGAATGATCAGGGCAAGAGATTAGGGTGCAAATACATGCTACAGTCAGTTTTATTTTGTGTTGTTTGTTTTAGGCTGCCTCCATGTGGAGGTTTTCCTTCATTTTGGATTTCAAATTAGAGTGTCATTTTGGAGCATTTCCGTAATCTCGTGCTGTAAACATCCTTTCCACACCTTCAGTATACTCTTTCGCGGGACTGCTGTTGCTATGGTCTTTTTGGGAAGGTGCACATTTTCAAAGGTCCTGCTTGCATGGGCGCCATTTTCCTTCTGTTAGCCCCTGGTGCCTGCCATTTTTCTCACTTGCCACCGGAGGGCTTTTGAAGCTTTCTCTTATAGCAATTACCAATTGGTGGTGGGGGGGGGGAACTCCATGGCAGGAGGGAGGGGAATTCAAGAACTTTGGCAGATGATGGAGGACAGTAGACAGAACACTCCCATGTGGGAAGCTCGGATGCCGTCGTGCCTGCCTCCACATTTGCAGCAGTGCACTGATGAATGCAAACCGGAGAATCCTCACCATGTGGACGCAGCCTTAATCTGAAATATTCTTTGTGAGTGAACCATGGTAATACCTGATAGTCAAAACGCTGGGAATGCTGGTGAACGGTGTGGTGTTCAGTTACCTCTTTGATGGTAGGTGTATGTGTTTAAGCTAAATTCGAGTCCAGTAGTACTTTAGAGACCAGCAACATTTTCGGGGTATGAACTTTTGAGAGTCAAAGCTTTCTTCGTCAAGTACAAGTTAGAACGGAGATCCTTGAGTCCTTATTTCCCGGTGTTGATTTTGCATCCCGAGTCCCTTCTTTGCTACCCCCTCTCCCACCTCCTACTGGGGTATAAGGACTCATGGATCTCCATTCTGACTTGTATCTGACGAAGGGAGCTTGGACTCTCAAAATCTCATACCCCGAAAGCTTGCTGGTCTCGAAGGTGCTGCTGAACTCGAGTGTAGCTGTTCCGCTGCACACCAACATGGCTACCCTCTGAAACTACATTTAACCTGTGTCTTAATAGGATGGAGTCAGCTTGCCGCGATGCACTGTGTTATGCTTCCTGACTTGCTGGGCCTGGATAAATTCAGACCGCCTCTCCTTGAAATGTTGGCTCGTAGATGGCAAGATCGATGCTTGGAGGTACTGTTTTATTGAAGGTGGAGGGAGGGAGAAATGAATCTGTTGGCCAATAACATGGGGGATATTTTTATATTGAATATATTGTTCCGGGGGGGGGGGGGATTGTAATATAACTCTGGCTTAAAGGTTGGATTTATATATAGGTATATGCAGTTCAATTTGCGGGTCAGTTTGGCAAAAAAAATGGAGAGTTAACATCCTGGCGTGACATCCGTATATTGTAGTTTAATGGGAAGCCAGGCTTCAGAGAGCAGGATTTTTAATGCAAAGGGCACGGTGCACCTCTCTGGCCACTGGATGTCACCATTGTTCCACCAGAACGTGGAGGGAAGCGCTTTGGAATATAAAAAAGCCTCCTTTCCCATAAAGCCGCAGAGCACTTCAACCAATTTGGATTAAGTTGTTCGTAGTGTGTTTACTTTTTATGCTTCAGCAGTTCGATAACTGCTGCAAATTTATTTTTAATCCTTTAAAGTATTCTGCTTAAAGAAACACACGCATGCGTAGAGAGCCATGCCCTTTATGTCACTGCCCGGGAACTTTTATTTCTTCACGGTATAACCATTTCTCGAAATGAGATTTCGATATGCACCTATGCGTGTGTGTATGTGTGCCATTTTTTTTTTAAAGAATGAGAATTACCTGGCTGCCTTCAGTGACATTTTAATTTCAATATTCGCGTCAATTGGTGGATGATGGTAGAGGAAAAATTCAAAGGTGACATCCGTGTTCGCGATGATTACTGTGTTCAAATGTTCAAGAGCCATCTTTAGTAAGGAAAACGGCCTTGGCTAGGAGGCTTCTCGGGCCGGTTTCTAGGGGGAGGCTGCAGAGTTGTTGACCGTAGCTCCCCTGGTTGGCAAATGAGGTTGGCACCTACTGTTTTTGATAAATGACTATCTGGCCTTGACATCGCCTCTATGCTGCTGTGGCAGAAAAATATGTTGATTGTGCAGCTTTAAAAAGAAATGTATGAGGAGCAGACCTGTGACATTTACAGTACAATTTTGAACCGGCTCCCCAGCTTAATTGAAAATCTGCTGCTGGTTTTGTGCGGTATCCGTGGCGTTCTGTGACGCATAACAGTAGAGGAACTCTCTGTGTTTGTATCCTGCCTCATTCCAAGAGCTTAGGAGGGTAGGCGTCCTGCCAGTTTGGAGTCAGGAAGCAATTTTTCTCCAGGCCAATTCGGTCAGGGATCCTGGAGGGTTTTTTTTGCCATCTTCTGGGCGTGGAGCAGGGGTCGCTGGGGGTGGGGTTGGAGGTTGTTGTGAATTTCCTGCATTTTGCAGGGGGTTGGACTAGATGACTCTGATGGTCCCTTCCAACTCTATGATTCTAGGTAGGTTTCTTGTTGCTGGGGGAACTCACAGCAACTTCAGTTTATTTCCTCATGCAAATCAAGCTGATGGACAGTGGTTAGGGAGAAGAAAGGCTAGAAAACATAGATGCTACATGCATCTTTGGAGGCCCTCAAACTGCTTGCTATCCTGATGGGGGTTTTCTGGGGAAAAAGTTGAATTGGAAAAAATTCTGTCAAAATTTTCCAGTGTCCTGATTACAGAATGGTCTGACCTGTATATTCTTAAAAGCAGCCCATGTTGATCTTCTGACAGCAAAGACTTGAACAGGAAGTTTGACTGGGGGTGGGGAACTAAGTGTGGCTTAAATGTTATGTTCAAACAACCTGAAAGATGTTTGTGGAAATTATTTTCATAGGAAGAAATGTAAAGACAATATTGCATGTGCGAGGAACATCTTGGACCACTGAGAACTGTTGATACACTAACTCTAGTATGTCCAAAGAAATAGTTAGTGCCACATCAGATTGGTGATTATAGTACCACTTCTACCATGTGAGAGGAAACATATAAATAAGAGTGTTCGTTTTGCTTCTGATTTGGCTTACACAGTCTGCTAGGTGCCTTTATAACTTGGTTTTCTTAAAATTCAGATCATTATATGCATTTGTGATTTTAACATCCCTTCCTAATTTACAAATTAATGAAACACACACACTTACACAAACACACACACAAACATCTATCAATAGTTCCTAGGGATAATTACCTGGAGGGGGATACTAATAGCAACTTTAAAACTGCCAGCTTGATTAATATTATATTGGCAATGGCATCTTCATTGGGATTAATTATGTGAAACAACAGATTTTTAGAAATGGGAAATTTTCTATTTCAAACATTTGTCCATTTTTTAAAAAAACAACCCTTGTTCTAAGTGCTTTATTTTCCCTGTGGAAAGCTTTCTATGGTTGGTTGTTTTTTTTTTAATGTTTCATGAAATGAACCCCAATGAATGGATATCTGATCTTCATGTTGAGCAAATACTGTTACGCTTAGGAAGTTAGTGGCTCCATACAGGGTTGGAGTGGCTGGGAGCTCTAGCAATCCTTTGTACTATGGCCAGGGTCCCCTTCCTACGTCACCGTTGTGTTTTGGGAGCTCTTTCCTGGCAGCGGTTTCTACTTTTGCTCTGGTGAACTTTGGGAGCTCGAAATGATGTCATGCCATCTTTGAGGCTGAATGACATTTACATGGGAAGGCATCACGTCATTGCCTTTGTCCGTATGATACCTCCGTCAACACATTACCATAGAAGCATGGAAAGAAGCCATCAGATGATGGCTCTCTTTACTGATGGGTCAGTCGTAGAGCATCTGCTTTGCATGCGGAAGGCCCCAGGTTTAATTCTGCGCCATCTCCAGTTAAAAGGACTAGGCGGTGATGTTAAAGGATCTCTACCTGAGACCCTAAAGAGCTGCTGCTGTTATGCTGCCATCAAATAATGGCTCTCTTTGCTGCTGGGTCAGTCGCAGAGCATCTGTTTTGCACGCTTTACATGCAGAAGGTCCCAGGTTCTATCCCCAACATCTCCAGTTAAAAGAACCAGGCAGCAGGTGATGTGAAAGACCTCTGCCCAAGACCCGGGGGAGTCACTGCCAGTCTGAGTAGACAATACTGATCTTGATGGACCAGTGGTCTGATTCAGTATACAGCAGCTTCATGTGTGTTCATGAGCAGGTAATACTGACCTCAGTGGATCAAGGGTCTGATTCTGTGTAAACCAGCTTAACGTACGTTCATGTGAGTCACTGTGAGTGGCCAAAATTGCAGTTGGTTTTATATTGCTTCCTTAATTTTTCTCCCCTTGAAGTTATTTTGTAAAGCTGTGAACTGGAAATGTTCTTTTAAAAACTCATCCTGGCACAGATCACGGGGATTTAAAGACACACACGAAGACTCTTTGAAATGCATATTTTTTTGCTTGGATTTGCAGGTGAGAGAAGCTGCCCAGGCCTTGCTGTTAGCAGAACTGAGAAGAATCGAACAGGCAGGCAGGAAGGAAACCATTGATCTATGGGCTCCTTACTTACCTCAGTACATGGACAGCGTGATATCACGTAAGTGTTTTCTGATGCCGAACCTAAACGTGCTAAAAAAAAAAGTCCTTGTTAAAATAATTAGGGATATCAGTATGGATCAAAGAAGAAACTTGGGTTTTATTCTGCGTGAGTGAAAAAGGGGGAGGCCTGTAGCCATGTTTGAAACTATACTAATTGTCAAACGATGACTGGCGAATGTTACCAGCCCGCGTCATGGTCCTGGCATCGCACACCTGTTGCTATAACTTTGTGCCTTCCCAGCAGCATGTGTAGAGGCTGTAACACTAGCAGCAGAAGCTTGTCTGTGACGCGATGTAGGCCCGGAGCTAATGCGGGGCCCATGGGGCCTCTCCCCCTAGTGTTTTTTCCAGGGGCCCTCCCTCCCGAGCTGTCCCCAAATTGAATTAATGCAAGTAACTTTGACTTAATTAGCTGCGCCCCCCCCCAAGGCCCCCTCCCCAGAAAATCCCTAGCTATGGGGCAGGACGTGGCATTGTTGCACAAAGCTGTTGCATGACACAATAATGAACAAAGAAGCACGGGGTAGGACTGATGTTGCCAATCCCCAGGTGGGGCCCAGAGATTTTCTCAAATTACAACTGGTCTCCAGAATACAAACATCGTGTTCAGTTCAACCACCCCTTCTCATTTTTCAGTTTACTGATGGCGGAAATAGCACCAAATACTGTGTCGTGAAGCCTAGCAGTATCTAAAAGGGATCTTTGTAAAACAGCATTGGTATTGCAAAATACAATGTAAAATTTCCTTTAGAAAATCTTACAGAGCTTTCTAAAAGCTGTGGCCAATACAGAAAAGGCCCTGCTCTGAGCTCCAGGATTCTCCTGTAGATGTTAACGCATTTTTTCATGTTTGCAGTATAGTTACTGGTCTTGATCCAGTGAAGGCTAGTGTGTACAGAAAACTCTTCCCCCCCCCCCCTTGCTGCATTTACATGAGACTACAGCTGGGGTTCCAAGGGCCGCGGTGGCTCAGAGGTTAAGACGCTGAACTGCAGACCAGAAGGTCGGTAGTTCAGCAGTTCGAGACCCAAGTGCCGCGAGAGGGAGCGAGCGCCCGTCTCTGGTCCCAGTTCCTGCCAACCTAGCAGTTCAAGAGCAAGAAATTGCAAGTCGATAAATAGGTACCGCTTCAGTGGGCAGGTAACAGTATTCCGTGTGCCTCGGCGTCTAGTCATGCCTGGCCACATGACCACGGAAATGTCTTTGGACAGCGCTGGCTCTTTGGCTTGGAAACGGAGATGAGCACCGCCCCCTAAAGTCAGATTCGACTGGCTTTCGAGCAAGGGAAACCTTTACCTTTACAGTTGGGATTATCCATTGCAATTTACCTGCCTTTTGTGGACAGTTATTATTTGGTCCTTTAGATATGCTCATGCGAGTCCCTATCTCAAATTTCCAATTGTCCTCAAGGGTGGATCCAAGTATATTTGTGACAATCAAATACATATGAGTGCCATTTATACTTGAGTCGATATCTTGAATTAAGTTTAGTTGTATGTCATCCTGCTCTCTACCTTTTGGATTCTTTTCTTGAACCCCTGAACATAGCTGTCAAATGTGACCAAAATATGAATGATGTATGGCTGTGGAATCATTTGAAACAAGCTTTGTAACTTAGTTTGTTTTGCTTTTATTGGTAGATTACAATTTGTTTATTTCTAAGAGACATTTTTATGACATGAGGAACGCTTTACCCAGAGGAATTTAATTTCCTTTCATCAAGAGTGCTTTGTATCTTAAATGCCAATTGATTTTTTTTGAAAGATATATAATGATCCTGTTAAATCTTGAAGAGGATGTATAATGTAGCTTTACGTGACGTTGTGGTGTGTTGTTCCCAAGAACAAGTTTGAATAAATACAGCATTAAAATTTTGGCTTTAAGTTTAACATTCTTTTTGTTTGAATAATTAAATTTTAAGAATTGTATTAGATATGACATTATGTTGATAAGAGAACCAGCAATAATTTCTTATATACAAAAAAGTATGAACTCATAATTGGGGAAATAAGAGCAAGTTTTGGTGTAGTGGTTAAGTGCGTGGACTCTAATCTGGGAGAACTGGGTTTGATTCCCCACTCCCCCACTTGCAACTGCTGGTGTGACCTTGGGCAAGCCATAGATGTGTCAGAGCTGTTCTTGAAAGATCAGTCCTCAAAAGAGCTGTCTCAGCCCCACGTACCTCCCAGGGTGTCTATTGTGGGGAGGGGAAGGGAAAGGAGTTTGTAAGCTGCTCTGAGACTCTCAGTGAAGGGTGGGGTATAAATCCAATCTCCTCCTCCTCCTCTTCATCTGAATTCATTTTTTATTCATTTTATGTACTTTGTTTATACCCCACCTTTCTCCTCACTGGGGATCTGGGAGTCTGAGTCTGTGTGACTGGCCCAGGGTCACCCAGCAAGCTTCCATGGCAAGAGTGGGAACTTGAATCCAGGTCTCTCAGATCCTAGTCTGTCTAGCCCCTACACCGCACGAACTCTCAGTTGTTGTCGTTATTTTAAAAAAATGACTTGTTTATCAATGTAGTATTTTTCATAGGGTAAAATGTGCAACTTTGCTGCATAGTGATACTTTTCATAAAGATAGATCAGAATGGGTAGCTGTGTTAGTCTGTCTGTAGCAGTAGAAGAGAGCAAGAGTCCAGTAGCACCTTAAAGGCTAACAGAATTTGTGACGGGATATGAGCTTTTGTGAATCACTGCTCTCTCCTTCAGCTCATCCCCTGCCACAAATTTTGTTAGTCTGTAAGGTGCTACTGGACTCTTGCCAGTTTGGTGTAGTGGTTAAGAGTGGCAGGCTCTAATCTGGAGAACCGGGTTTGATTCCCCACTCCTCCAAATGCAGCCAGCTGGATGACCTTGGGTCAGTCACAGTTCTCTCAGAGCTGTTCTCTCAAGAGCAGTTCTCTTAGAGCTCTCTCAGCCCCACCTACCTCACAGGGTATCTATTGTGGGGAGGAGAAGGGAAAGGAGATTGTAAGCCGCTCTGAGACTCCAAGTGAAGGGCAGGGTGTAACTCCAACTCTTAATCTTTTCATGAAACCATTTTTCTTAGTGACAGACAGATGAATTTGCACCGGCTCGATGAGGATGATCTTGAATACAAGATGATATGAACGACTGCTCCAAAAACATTTCAGAACTTCTTAAACCTTTGTGCTTGCACTGTGCTAGACACTGTTGGAGCTTCTAGTGCCGTCATTAGGAGCACAACGCTCCCCACCCATTTCCATGTCCCCAAATTCATCTGGCCATGGCATTTCTTTTTTTTAACATTTTATTTTCAGGTTTTGTTTCTTTACACTATCATATACTTCAAGAGATTAATACAACTATAAACTGTAACAAGTCTAACATCAACAAAACTACTGTAGCAGCCAACCTCAGCAGTTGAACTGGGTTCAGAAGTATAACAGGTTCTGATAGTATCTATTGTTAGGTAAGAAGTCATCTTGAGCTAAATAATTCACTACAGGATACCATATAGCTTAGAAGGTACGTAGAATCATAGAATCATAGAATGTTCGAGTTTCCCAGGCTAAACATGCCCAACTCTTTCAGCCTTTACTCATAAGACTTGGATTCTAACTCTCTCACCATCCTGGTTGCCCTCTTCTGGACATGCTCGAGCTTGTCAACATCCTTCCTAAAATATGGTGCCCAAACTGGATATTAAGAGCAGCATTTTGTGAAGTAATTTTCCCTAACAGGAAGTGCTCCCAAAGTTTGTTTTCCCACATATTTAGGGATGGTGCCGTTGTCTCTTTCCATTTTTGAGCTACGGTGATTCTTGGCCATGGCATTTCTTAGGTTCCAAACACTGCTGTATACATGCCCACAGCTCTTCCTCCAGTTATACCAGGTGTGACAGATGATGTGTGTTCAAAATTAAACATTTCCTCTAAATTATGCCAATAAGAGTAGCACAGACAAAGCATCCCACGGGCAGAATCTAGAGACATTTGCAGTAAGAAACATTCAATTTAGACACTATGAGACATGGTTAAGTAAGTTTAGCTACGGTTTCATTTTTACCTTCAAAACTCTCCATTGCCTGGGTTTGAAGAATTATCACTACATGCTGTTCTTAGTCCTTATCTGTCAGCACCTGCTATATCCCCCCAATGACCTTTGTTCCTCCAGCTCTACCACCCTCAGCCATCTGAAGATCTTTTGTTCCTTCAAACAACTTTCTCTGTAGCTGCCTTTATGCCTCTTAGAATGCCTGTGTGATGTCTCTTGCTTTTTTCCCTAGGAGATAGATCAAGATGGGTAGCCGTGTTAGTCTCTGTGTAGCAGTAGAAAAGAGCAAGTAGCACCTTGAAGACTAACAAAATATGTGGCAACAAAATATGTGAAATAAGATTTTAACAAAATATGTGAAATAAATTCTCTGCTGAATTGCAATTGATAATGAAGCTCAAGACAATGCATCCACCTGGACTGAATCAAGACCTAGGTTTCCTGTCTCATTACCAATGCTGATTTCTTCAAGCCTATTAAAGGTAAAGGTTCCCTTGCTCGAAACCCAGTTGAATCCGACTCTAGGGTTGCGGTGCTCATCTCCGTTTCAAAGCCGAAGAGCCAATGCTGTCCGAAGACATTTCCGTGGTCATGTGGCCGGCATGACTCAACACCAAGGCGCACGGAATGCTGTTACTTTCCAACTGAAGTGGTACCTATTTATCTACTTGCAATTTCTTGCTTTCGAACTGCTAGGTTGGCAGGAGCTGGAACTAGAGACGGGAGCTCACTCCGTCATGCGGCACACTCGGGTCTTGAACTGCTGAACTACCGACCTTCCACAGCCTGCTGTTCAGCGTGTTAACCACTTGAGCCACCGCAGCTCTATTACCCCTCTGCATATCTCACCTAATCCAGTCATGCCTGCTATTGTTATTCACCTGCTATTGTTATTTTCATGCTAATGTCGTTCAGCATCGAAATCTCTTTCCAATAAATAGGACTGATGGACTCCAATTCTATATGTATCTGAAGA